CACAGCCCCAGCATGAGGCTCTGGGGTCAGGTGCCAGGTAGGATTTAATATCCCCAGGGAAACAGGGAAACCCAACCCGTCCCTTTCCGCTCCAATGAGCTCCACTGAGTAACGCAGGCCAGCTCTGCAGGTGCCTCTTTCTGAATTTGGACTGAAGAAAATGCCCTGTCCTACCCCAGAAGGCGGAGGAGGCAGGGAGGAACATGGCACACGCTGACCCCAATCCCACCCCACCAGCCAGCCAGCCAGCCCCATTCTGGGGGCAGAGGATCTGGAGTCTGGTGTCTTGCAGACTGTCCACCAGCCCCCAGCCCTGCTGCACCACTGGCCTTGGGGTGGTGCCTAGGAACTAACTGTGGTTCTGCTGGCAAGGCCACACTCAAAGCCTGTGCTCCCAGCAGACCTCCCCTGGGAAGGATGTGTGGGCCAGGGGTGGGCCGGGCCACAGGCAGGCACACCTGTCACAGCACATTCCCACGGTTCTGAGACACAGCGTCCTCACCTAGCCATCAGGCACACCTTCGCACACCTACCAACTACCACATCTGGAGACAGGACGAGGCAATAAGAAAAGCGGGTCAAAGGGAACTTTAGTCTAATCCATGCTGCTGTCTGATATCTTTGATGCAATTCAATGGCTTTTTTGTAAATATTGCTCAACTCCAAAACGACTAAACCTCAAAGAAAACATGTACCTTAGAAAGAAAACAGCAGCAAACATCAGAATTCTTTCTAAAACCAAATCTGTGCTAGCCTGACTTGCACTTAATCCTTACCACTTTTTGGGAAAACACTACTGCAGGTTTAGGTAACAGAAACTGAAGGACAGAAGGTCACATGACTTGCTCACCACACAAAATACGGACATGGTGAAGCCTGAATGTGACCCCTGCAATGGCAGCAAGTGCAGCGGAGTCAGGCTACCCACCCCCTGACCTCAGGCGGGCAGAGCATGCCAAGGCCGGGCCAGAGGCCCCCATGACAGTGGGGACTACTGACAATCTCCCGGAGAGCAATGAAGTATACCATAAAACAAACCAAGGGCTGACACCCAGAGGGGACAGCAGGGAATGAGCAGGCAGTGTGAGCTTAGCGCATGGGCTTGGCCTACGGCTTTGGGCCTCTGGCTCCACACCTTGGGCAGGAGGTGAGCCCCAAGAACTGTTTGTGTGCCTAAAGCTCTGAAACAGACAAGCAGGCAGAGAGGGTCCGACCCAGAGGAAGCAGTGATGTGGGATGCAGACAAGGAAATTAATTCTCTGGAGACACAGGTGCACCTAGGCAAAGGCTGCAGATAGGAGGAAGCTGGCCCACAAAGACGAGGACAACAGGTGAACCACACATGAGCAGAGCTTTCCTGTAAGATGAGCTCCCCCCCCTCTCCCACCAACATACACACGATGACCCTGGGCAGTTCAAAACAGAAAGGAAGCCTCGCTTGCTCAAAATGCTGTGGCCAAGTTGTGTGAACAGCTCCACCAAACCAGGCAAGGTGGCAGGGCTGAGCGCCTCGTTTCCCAGTACAGGGCAGGAAGAGGAGAGGGCTGTGCAAAGACGGGACCACCTGGGGGAACCCAGGCAGCAGGTCTACAAGTGCCTCAACGAAGGGCCCAACCAACCAGCTCCAGCTACTTGCCCAGCCCAGCGGAACTTGGCCTTGCAGCCAGTCAGGCGCAGGGTCAGCTTTGTCAACTTATGAGCTGTATAAAGCCACACAAGAGGACCCAAACTTTCAAAGCTTGGTTTTTCTTCTTTAAACAAAGGTCATGTCCATTCCCCAGTTGGGAGGACTTGGTAAAGTAACATCTGGAACGCACTTTTTTCTTTGCCCATCCCCAACCCTGACACCATCTCTGAGAAAACCCTTCCTCTCTACTCCCTAGGCACGCAAGTATACTAAGGATGGTGTCACAGTAAGAAATACTGCTTATTGGGCACTTAGGGTATGCCACGCCACGTGCCACACACTTTACATGTTACCCCATTTAATCTCCACTCTACCTCTGACCAGCTGAGACCCGGTTAAATTTTTAAGCTTTCTGAGTCTATTTCCTACACCCAGTAAAGGAAGGGAATCATTCCAGCCTCCTAGAACTACCAAACGATCCACTTAGAAAAACCGTGCAAGGAGCGTGGCAAAGTGCCTGCCTGGCACATGGCAGTGTAACTGTAATTACTACCATCCTTGTTAATTTCAAAATAACACAACCCTGATGCTCCAGTTACACACTAGGAAAAAAAAAAACAAAGATAATAAAGTAGCAGCAAGTAGACATTAGAACTCAAGTCCAACTCGACTCTTCCAAAACCTTTACTGTCAAGCAGCACCAATTCGGTCACCCCCGCCCCGACCCAGCTCGGCTCGGGCCGGCGCCACTCATCGCAGGCAGCTTAATCCGCAAGTCCCACACCTTCCCTAGGCCTACGCTTCTTCACTCTCAAATCGAAATAGGGAGACAAGGGGGATGTTTTCAACGTCCAATGACTCCCAGTTCTAATATTCTTGGGGATCCCAAAGTTATCTGTGCGAAAGCCCCTGCTTTGTAGACTCGGTCTCACCTGGAGGGTACTTGCCTCTCACCCGCCCCTAAGGAACCCAATAGGACCAGGTCCAAACCTCCAGCTTCCTTTCTACGTCGAGTAGATTTATGAGGCTGGGTCTACGTGCTCCGAGTATGGGGTCGGACAGGAAGTGGGGCTCATCACTTGGGCAAAATAGGAGGCAACTACTACATAGTGCGATCCTCGGGTCTGCCAAGAGCCCCGCGGAAGCGACCGTCCGCGAGCGCACTCTAAGGAGGCAGGAGGAAGCCTATTCCCCGAGGGAACCTGCCTCACGCGCGGCGCCCCAAGACTCGGCCCTGCCCGCGCCCACGTGAAAAGGGGGTGTCTCAACCGCCATTTTGGAATAAAAGGGGCGTGGAGACCTGGCCGCGGGGCCGTCCGGAAGCGGAAGTACCGGGGCAACGGGACAGAAAGGAGGACATTCGGGAACCGATATAATCTCCTTCCAGATTACTGACAAAAAGAGCCTGCGCGGGACCGCCCGGGGAGCGACCTGGCCCTGCCGCCACCGCGGTCGCCTCCGCCGAGGCCACGTGGGAGCGAAGCGGAGTGCACGGCGCATGCGCCCCGGCCCTCGGGGGAGGGGGGGGCCCCCGCCCACTTACCGCCCCGCCCGCGCGCTGCTGCACGCCGGCGGTCACGTGAGCGAGGCGCGCGACAAGGGACGGTGTGGGGGGGGGCAGCCGCGCGGCACTGAGACGGGGAAGCGAGAAGAAAATGGCGGGGGGGCCACCGAGGGAATCCAAGAGCCGCCCTACCCAGCGCCCCGCGCCCCCGCGCCCTCACCTTGCTTATTCTCGTTGAGCTGCCGCTCAAACTCGTCGAAGTCCGACATGCTGAGGCGGCCGCGTAGGCCCTGTGCAGCTCTGGCCTCGCCTTGCCGCCCGCCCGCTCAGGCCGCTCGGCTACTTCCGCCGCTCGCTTCGACTACTTCCGGCCGCCGCCGGCGCTCCGCCACCTCCTACCTAATCAAGCCTCGACTGCCCGCCCCGCCCCGACTCCGCCCCTCTCCCCGCCCACCCGCCCGCCCGCCTGCGAGGGGCCCCTCCCTCCAGAGCCTCGCTCCGAAACTTGTCGGCTATTTCCGGACTGTAGAAGGAGGCGTAGGAGCGGCGGCTTCTGCTATTTCCGAAAACACCCGAAGCAAGGGTTTCGCCGGCTTCCCAGGCTTTCGCAACTTTTCGGAAATCGGCTCTTCAGCGTTCGAGCGTTTCCGTAGATCCTCGCGTTCCTCTGGGCCTAGTCCCCTACCAAGGGTTCGGCTTCTTCCGGCAATTCAAACCGTCCCAGTCTTTGGCGGCTTCCGCGGACGCTGCCCGCTCCTCTTCACCAGCTCTGTCCAAGCAGTCGGCTACTTCCGACAGTCCTAACCGTCCCGGACTCCGGCACTTTCCGAGGGTTTCCGGCACTCGCCGTCTGGCCCAGCAGAAATTAAGCTCAATGCCAAACTTCGGCTCTCTCCGGAGATGCCACTCGCTCGCTTTACCTTACTCCGCAGAACTTCGGCTCCTTCCGGCACCGCTTCGGGAAGGCCTCACCACGGAAGACAGCTTCGACTTTTTCCGTCAGTGCTTCGGGTCCTTCCGGCTTCGGGAACCGAAAAAGGAGGGAGGACGACGGCAAGGTGGGTCAGAGAAAGGGATACGGAAAAGGGAAGGGGTCCCGGCTCTCGGCACCTGGCTCTCTGCGTGGGGAGAATGGAGGAAAAGAACAGCCGATCTCGCGGAGGGCCTAAAAAGGTTGCGCGAGACAAAAGCAGCCAGCGAGTGGAGCGCGCGCAGCCGCTGCGGAGGTTTCCAGCGCGGCTTTGTGCGCCTGCGCAGGGTGGAAGAGGGAGGGCAGGAGACGGCCTTCTGCGCCTGCGGAGAGGTCGGTCTGAGGCTAGGTTTCTCAGTGCTCCGGAAAGGCACTGGGTTCCAGAGCTCCCAGCACGCGTGCGCGAGACTTCCCCTTCTTCCTGGGAAAGTACTGAATTCTCCAACGGTGAAGCTAGGCCGACCGCTCCTGGTTGCCGTAGCAACCGAGTAACCGCGCCGGGTCCCCTCCTGATGAAGGGAACAGAGGGCACTTCCGGGAGGGAGATAATCCCGCATTATCGCCTCCTGGCGGAAAAGCGGTGGCGATGCCCTGGGTTCCCTAGTGGCTGCCTCCGCTAAAGGTCACTGAGCCCCGATTCCTGCTGCCGCGCCTCTAATTCGAGTAGTCCAGCGGGTCGTGTTCACGCCTCTTTTCCGTACCCCTGCCTCTCCGAGTCCCGCGGGACACAGCTGCTTCTCTCCCCTCCACCTCTGTCTCCAGGGGGGGCTAATTACACCCTATCTCCCCCAACTTCCCCCGTTTCCCCGCCCGCTCCCTCGAAGCCCCCCCCACCCGAGCCCCAGTCACCGTCTCCGCGGCAATGGCCAACCCCTCCCCGGAAGAGGCGGGGGGGCTAGTTTATTCCAAATTTTATCTTTTTAATTTAAATTCTCTGAATAATTCTCTGTCTCACGTGGACTCGGGGGTGGTCCGGAATGCGGGTGGGGAGCTCCTTGGTGGTAGGGCAGACAGGGCCGGCCAGCCTCTCCTCGGGGTTGAGGGCCTGGGCCAGGGTATGGACAGTGCCCCTCTCCTGCAGAGTGAGTGTCCAGCAGTTTTTCCAGTGAGGGTGCAACGGCGCAGCTCAAGTGTGTGTGGGGGTGGGGGGGAGGCAGCGCTGGGGAAGGGGCAGAAACCAGCCCCTTAAGCAGCAGCTCTTCGGAGCCTGGCCAAATGAGATCCTCCCCAACCCAGGGAATGCAGAGGGAGGGGAAGATGCTGGGAAAGTGGGAGGCAAGGGGAGCAGATCTATATACTAGGGACCTGGGGTGGAAGTAGGGGTGTGCAGGAGGAGAGAAGCACACGCACAAACACGCTGCCCATCCCCAAAGTCCTGCAAGGGTCACACCACTCATGCACACGCCCCGCCAGTAGGGGGTGGAGGAGGGGAAAAGGCGGGGCAAGGGCCTGTCCAGGCCAGGTGGCCAAGTGGGGCCGTTTCTAGGAGGGGCAAGATCACCGCTTGAAGCGGTAAGTGATGGGCAGCAGCAGCTTGCTCTTCTTGAGGGCCTGCACCTTCTTGAGGGTCTCATCGTCCAGGGCCAGGAAGCAGCGGCGCGAATACTCGAGCAGGCGTTCCTTGGAAGGGTCGAACTCGCCCACCTCGGCCAGCTTCTCAGGAGCCACGATGAGCAGCTCCGCGATGGGCGTGGTCAGTGCCACCGTGTTGCGGTCCACACGGTGATGCTCAAAAGCCCGAGACATGCTCTTCAGCTTTTGGAAGGTGCCCAGTATCTTCTTGTAACGGCAGAGGACCCCGTCGGCATCCTTCACTGCAGGACCAAGGCAGGGATAGATGGGGAGGTGGGGTGTGGAGAGAGACACGTAGAGGGGGAGCACCACGGATGTGTAGGGAGGGCAGGTGGGGTGAGGGCCCCCACAGAGAGCAGGGACGGGGCAGCAGCCAGCAACAGAACAAAATGGGGAACAGCAGGGAGCACGGTTAGGAGTCCGAGGAGGGAGACAGAGAGATGGACATTGGGTAAGTGGAAAATTGGAGAAGGAAAGCCCAGAGAGGAAGAGGCGGAAAAATGAATGGGAACGCATGGCAGGGATGCGCCCCAGCCCGCCTGAGCCACGGACCCTTCCTCATGCGACAGATGAGAACCTGAGGATCAGGAAGGTCAAGGAGACCCCCACCCCAGGGACCGACCAGGTGTGGGCTCTTTACTGCTGGGGTCACCGGGCCTTGGGTTGGAGTAGGCAGAGCCTCTGGAGCGGAGGCCACACAGCAGGTTCCCAGACTGAACCCCTGCAGCCCCCACCCCATGCCTCGCTCACCACGCTGCCTCTCCCGCGCCTTGGGCTTCCCAAAGCGCCTCCGGCCAGCGCCTCCCTTCTGCTTCTGCCTCTTCCTCTCACTGTTGCCGCCTTCTTCAGATGCTCCACTGAGCGAGGAGGCTGCCGACTCAGGGTCGGAGGCCTCGCCCCCAGCCCCACCCCGGCTGTCTCCCTCAGACCGCCGGGGCCCAGGCTTCAGCCGGCAGTGGTCCTCTGGAGAGAAGTAAGGAGAGACACGCATGCGTCAACTGCGGGACCAGGAGGCGGGAGGCGGAGGTCTGTCGGCAGGGTGGGGATAGACATCACAGTACTCCGGTCCCCACGAAGGGGTCCCCTAACCAGGGCTGGGGGCCCCAAGGAGATGCAGTACAGATGTTGAGGTGCCCACCCAGACAGCTGAATACAGTACTATCAGCTGGGGTTTGGGTGCAGAGGTGGTGGGTGGGTGGGGCATAGGCTAAGGTCACCCAGCTGACTGGCAAGAGGTCTTGAGGAGTGGCCTAGTGGAGAGTCAGTGACTATGTGGGGTTCCCACAGTGGAGAAGGGGTCTTCTGGGTCCTCTATTAGACTGGACTCTCAAAACCCAGGAGGCAGATAAGGCCGTGGTTGAGATGGGGTTCCACGGCTAATGGACTGGGAAAGGTGTGTGCCCGCCTTCACCTGGACAGAGTATGGTGAGCCTCTGATGCAGGGCCCTCCAGAAGGTAGGCAGGCCCCACTGAGCAAGTCTAGAGGCCCAATTATCCTGGGTAGGTTCCCATCAGTGTGGGGAGACAGTGGTAGGTCCCAGCAACCCAGGCTACAGGTGGTTCCAAAGCAAAGAGGCTCCCAGTAACGTAGATGTTGAAAAATTGCAGGCCTTCTTTGCCCAGGCTTTTGGTTGAATTCACAAAGAGGGATGTGGGTGGGTGCCTTTGGGGGTGGGGGTGAAGGGAGGCCTGCACACCAGGATGGGGAGAGCAGAGGTTGGGTTCTCCAAAACAGGCTAAAGATTCAGCAAAGGAAAACCCTAACTACCTGGAGGAAAGGATGGGGTCGTGTTCAAAATAAATGGACAAGCAGGGCACAGGGTCCTGCTGATGAGCAGAAGCAGGAATCCAGCAGGAAGCTGGCTTAGGGTCCCAGGGACACCAGAGGACTGAGGAAAGAGTAGAGAAGCCAGGTCCCCACTGAGCCACCAAACGAGTGTGTGGGTGAAGATACTGTGACCCTGAGAAGGGCCAGAGCTGGGCAACAGGACCCAGGAGTGAGGGGAGCAGCGGCCTGGCACAGCAGGCACCCTCACCTGCATCCATACGAGCAGAAGAAATAAACTTGTCCAGCTGACACCGCAAAAAGTCCCTCTCCTCCTCTAGGTCCTCGATGCGCTTCTGCAGCCACGAGTTCCTCTCCAGGGCCATGTGCAGCTGGGCCCTAACACCACTCATCAGGGCCACAGCAGGGGGTGCAGCCTCTGGAGGCTCTGGGGACAGCAGGGGACCCAGGTCATACCCAGACCTCAAGGGCCTTGCCTCCCAACTGACTGGAGTCCCTCCAAGTCCCCCCTGAAGCTCACCCTCAAAGTTTCCCCGAGAGGGGCTCAGACTGTAAAAGATCTGTGGGTCTAGGTGGGGCGTCTCATCGAAGGGGATGGAAATCTCGAAGGCCTCATCGTCCTTCTTCACTGGAGAGGAGAGGCCAGGGGTGTGGGGAATCACCCCAGGGAAGTCCCCAGGCCCCCTGGACCAGCCCCCAACCACAGCAGCCCTAGGGAGGAGAGGGCAGGGATGCGCCCAGCTGTGGAGGGACCCCGGGGGATGGGGGCAAGGCCCCAGCTTCCTCACGTGTCCTCCTCCTGTTTCGGTCATTCATGGCGCGGCCTCCAGCGAACTCGGGCAGCTGAGCGCCTTAGGGGCACTGGACAGAAACAGCAGCCAGAGATGGAGAGACACAGATGACTCCGTAGGGACATCCCAAGGGACGTGGGGCCCAACGCGTCAGGGCTGAAGGCCCCGAGGGCTGGATCTGGAGGAGGGGACCCAGACCCCTCAGGACTGAGGGAGAACACGTGGGGATCAAACTCCTGGACTCCATGGGAAGGAGGGGACCCGGGGCGCACACACCTAGGTACGGAACGGAAGGAGTCGGGCCCCTCGCGGGGTCCACAGAGCAGGAACATCCTGGTCTGCATGGGATGGACCCTCACCATGGGTCACCTCGGGGTCAAAAACGAGAGGACTGTGCCCCAACTTCTAGGCATAGGGTGGGGGTCCAGCCAAGGAGCGGCACCAACCCAACCCACCGGCACCCCCACACCCCTCCCCCGCACTCGCGTGGGCGAGCAGGGCCCCTCCCCCTGGCAGGGGGCTAGGCGCGTGCGCAGTGTGGGGAAGGTCACGCGTGGGGATGCGCCCCCGCCCCCGCCCTTTGTCCCGCCGGTGGGAGGGGGAGCAATGGTGGTAAGGGGGCCCAGCGGGGGATGCGCCAGGCCGCGGGTGCAGGCGCGGCCACCACCCTCGCCCGCAGATGCCCCGGGTCAACAGGCCGGTGCCCCGCGCTCACCCACCAGCGCGAGGAATTGGGCCCGGGGACCGACGGCGGCGGCGCCCATGCCCAGCGCCGGGGAGCGTCTGCAAAGTGTCGCAGGGAGAGGAGGGAAGCGCCCACCCAGCGCGGACGGGCGGGGCGGCAGGGGCGGCGAGCCTCGAGGTGGGCGGTAGGGACGCCAGCCCTCGCCCGGGGCGCCAGTTGCTGTGCCTCCTCCGGGAGTCCCCGGCCCACGATGAGGCCTGCCGTTTGCGGCGGAGGCAGCGCCCGCATTTGCGCGATAGCCCCTTCCAGCACCCCCACAACCCCGCCCGCCGCGCAGCCAGGGCAGGGAGCGTCACGAAATTTCCAATTCCTCAAGAGCCGACGGCTCCCGGGGTACCAGGGTGGATGGCGACGGGATGAGTCGATCCCGGGAGGGGCAGGGAATGTAGGCGACAGCCAGGCAAGTTGAAACACCGGGAAATCCCAGTAAGGGATACCCTTGAAACTGGCTAGTGTGGACCCCCGCAACCTACCCCCTTATCTCCCGGATGTGCATCAGAACAGCCAGACTCCACTGTTCCCAGGACCGTGGAGGAGTAAAAATGCCCCTCTCGGAGAGTAGGGGGCCTGAGCCCCATCACCTCCCCCGTGGCAGTGATTAAGAGCTGGCTTGGAAACATTCAGACCTAGATCCCAGTCTGGGCCGCTCCTCCCCAGCCTCAGTTTACTCACCTGCAAAGTGGGGGAGATTACAGACCCTTTTAGGTTCGTTGTGAGGATGCAGTGATATGACACGCGCGAAATGCTCAGCCCAGCGCCTGGCCATAGTCGAGGCTCAAAATCCGGGCGCCGTTAGTACCATTTGAGGTCAGACAGTGGGAGGCTCTTTCCCTCTCCGGGGAGACGGCTGATTTGTTCTTCCGCCCAAAAACAGGTCGGAAGAAGAAATGAGGCCCTGCACAGTGCCTGGCACAAAACAGACGCACAAGGAAAATTCATTAAGAAGGCAGATGTTTACTCAGCTCTATCAGCTCCCTGCCTCGTCTCCCATTCACTAGTAGCATCCATGCTCCGGACTCTGCCAGCCCTGAGGAGAGCTGGCTTCACCCCTGCAAAGGGAGGGTCTAAATGTGCCATTTAGAAAGCGACGGCCACACCTGTCTCTCTGCTTCCTGTCACTGGTAAATTGCAGCCTGGGAGGAAAATTCCAGGGAGAGGCACCTGTCCTAGTTCAGGGTTTTTCAAACTACAGGTTTATGGATGGAGAATTCAATATAATAGGAAGGAATTGTCAACTTAAAAAAAAATCATATGTGAAATATAAATCAGTGATCTGTACATAGCAGAAGGAACTATTGTTAAACTTTTGTTTCACATATATTTTGCATATCTGTATACTAGGTCATCATGTAAAATGTGTCTTGCACTGGATCGTGATCTTTCAAAAAAGTTTAAAAATACTCTGCTTAGGTGACACCGGTCATGAGGAGCCAAGCCAGGACTAATCCCAGTGCAGAAGGCCATCCTTCCCACTCCTTAGCCAGGCAAGCCAAGCACTCTGAGGCTGCAGTGAGATAACGTGCAAAATGCTCAGCCTAGTGCCAGGCCACACCAGGGCTCAACATCCAGGTGCTATTAGTTATTTGAGGTCAGACAGTGGAAGATGGTGACTTGTTCCCTCACCCAAAGAGACTGGGCCAGGCACTTGCTGAGTCTTCCTGATAGGCAGCAGGCAGGCCAAGCTGAGTCCCCCAAAACAAACCTGGAGTGCTCAAAAGGGAGAAGGTGTTTGTTTATTGGGTGTCATTTCAGCCTCTAGCTAGCAGGTCTGGGGCACCAGCCCCTAGTATCAGCATGCAGGCCTCAAGAAGATGCTGCAGATCCCTGATGGCCCCCAACCACATTTTTTCAGGCTAGACAATTTCCACACACAGCACTCTCTCCCCCCACTCCTCCAGTCAGGGCTCAGCCGTGGGTTAACTGATGTTTCTAAGGCTAGAGGCTCCACTCTGTGAATGCGAGGTCTTGTTCCCATCTAATCTCCAAAACACTGAGCACCCGAAGACTATTCCTGGGCTCCTCTTTCAGATGGCGCTCAGCCTCCACAGGAGGTGGACCTGTGTCCACGGCCCCCCAACCCCACCTCTGTCATTCACAGGCTGAGGGCCACCCGGTCCCCCCCCCCCCCCCCCAGAATCCCATGGTACCCTGCAGCCCGGCTTATGGATGCTTCCACCGAGTGTGCTTCTGCAGCGTGTTCTGCTCCATAAATCGGCGCGGGCAGTGCGGGCACTGAAATGGGCGCTCCCCCGAGTGGACCCGGCTGTGCTGTGCCAGCTCGCCTGCCTCGCGGAAACGGCGCGGGCATAGCGGGCAGCCGTGGGGCCGCCCGCCGCCGGCCCGGTGAATGGAGAGGTGCCGTGCCAGGTGGCTGGCCCGCTTGAATGCCTTTCCGCAGGTGTCGCACTCGAAGGGCTTCACCTCCGAGTGGGTGATGCTGTGTCGTTGAAGGTACGACATGTACTCAAAGACCCGGGAACACACGGGGCAGCTGTAGCACTTTTTCTGAGCCGAAGCGCCATCAGCCCCGGACTCCACCTGAGACCCCTCATCCACCAGTACCGTGTAGGGCACACCCTGGGTGTCAATGAGCAGGTAGTGCTTGGGCCTCGGAGGGGAGGACGTCTGGGGCGGTCCTGTGGAGGAGGAAGTTCCGGGTTCTGGGGACCGGCCTGTGCGAGGGGAAGGGGCCTCCATGGCCTCAGCAGAGGGAATCGCCAAGGGCTGGGGGCAGGGGGCCAGCAGCACCAGCATCGGAGGGATGACTGAAGCCTGGTGGGGGCGGGGAGGATGTGGAGGTTACAGAGAGGGGAAACCCTCTCTGTACTCTGCCCAGAACTCCTCCATCCCCCGGTATCCACCTCTTCCCCAGTCCTTCCACCCTGGACTCGATGACCTTCTGTGAGGCCCACCAGGGTCTCCCTCCTTTCAGAACCTCTCCTATCCTGTTTCCATCACCCGCTGCAGACACAGGCTCTCTTCACCCCTCGGGACCTCGATCTTCCCCCTTATGCCCTCCTCACGTCACCCATAGGGCGCCTCTAGGCCCCACCCAATAGGCCTCCAGGTCTCTCGCCCCATTCTCAATGCCCCTGACCCCGGTCTGGGTGTCCTTTTCTACCCTTGTGTGTACGCCTAGGCCCTCACAAACGCGCAGCCACGTTAGGACCCTCTGGTCCTAGCCCGCCCTCGGGCCACCTCTGAGCCCCAGTCCCCTCGCCCAGCCACCTCCAGGTTCTTTTCAGTCCACGCCCAGTCACCCCCACCCCCTTTCTAAGCCCCGCGCTCTCTAGCGGTCCACCCCTGTGCGCCGCCCGGCCTCAAGCCCGTCTACCGAGCTCCCTGCGGCGCCCCTCGCGGCCTCGGACCGGCCCTCCCCGGCCTAAGCACAGGTACCCGCTCCCCTGCCCCGCCTCCCCGCGGCCCGCTCCCGGTTCCCTCCCGCATCCCGGCCCCCGTACCCGGTGCAGCAGCCTCTCGGGTCCGGGCGACTCCGGAACGGCCCCGGGATACCCCGTGGTTGCTGGTGGCGGTGGGTCTGGGGATCTCCGGGTGTTCACCAGCAGCCGGCGTCACCGGGTAAGGGGAGAGAGGACCCGGGAGAGAGAAGAGGGTCCAAGGAAGGAAGGGGGGAGGCGGGGCCCATGGGCCTTCGGGAAAGGGCTCCGGCCAGAAACACATACTAAGAAGGTGGTTCCCGGGTGCTGACGGTCCGGCCTCCACCCTGCATCCCTGCCACCTTCCCCAAACCCATAAGCAAATAAGAGCCCTAAAATGGAATGTGGAATGTTTATTAAGGGGTGAGGTGGGTGGAAGGGAGTTGATACAGAAGTGAACCGGACCGTGCCTGTGACCTTTTTGTCAAATCTTCCACGCAGACAAGAACTGTTCAGCACTTTGGTGCAGCAAACCAAGGCTCAGAGACGTTATGTCACTTGCAAAGGCTCACACAGCACAGCCGGGCGGGAACCCACTTTCCACCAGCTCACAAGCCCAGGGAGGGGCAACGACTACATCACACAGTTAGAGGGAGGGAAGAAAGGAAGGAATGTTTCTCCCTTTGGATAGATGGGGAAACTGAGGCCCAGGGTAAGGCAGTAACATTAGCCAGGCCAGGAACTGTGTGTGGGAGTGACACTGTGTGGGTCAGACGTGGAACACAGGCGGGTCTGGAACTTAGTGGAGGCGCACGTGCTGCGCCAGCTCCGCTGCGTCCTGGAAACGGCGTGGGCAGAGTGGACAGGTGTGCGGCGGGCCAGCGCGGGCGCGGTGCGTTGCACGGTGCCGCGACAGGTGGCTGGAGCGCTTGAAGGCCTTGCCGCAGGCGCCACACGTGAAGGGCTTGAGGTCCGAGTGCGACACGCGGTGGCTCTGCAGCCGCAGAGGGCTGGCAAAGACACGGGCGCACTCCGGGCAACTGTAGCCCTTGCGAGGGCCGGTCTCTCCCGGCGGCGCCTCGCGCTGAGGCGGGCCCCGGGGCTCCTCCTCCAGCTGCACCGTGTATGTGTAGGGCACCCCGTTGGCGTCGATGAGCAAGTGGCGGCCCAGCCGCGGGGGTCGGGGCCCTGCCGCCGAGGATGGAGTGGAAGGAGGGCCTTCCGTCTTAGGGAAAGGGGGAGCCTTGGGGGGCGGCGGGTCCATGGTCTCCGGGGAGGAGGACCGCGGATGGGGTGGCCGGGGAGGAAGCAGCAGCATCTGGAGCGGCAGCTGGGAGCGGCGAAGGGGAGAAGTTAAAACCGCCACTGCTGGGGAAAGCGTCCCCATCTCCCTGCTCCTTGCTCCCTCTATACCACCGACCTATCACCCCTACGAGAAAGAAGCCACTCCAGGCCGAACCTTCAGGTTCCCTCACGCGGCTCGCGGACACCCCCAGCTGAGCATTTCGCGGTCGCAATCTGCCTGTTCTCCTGCGTCCTCCCAGTCTCCGGGCAGCCCGGAGGGCCTCACCCCGCACTTCCCTCCCCACGTCCCTACCGCCAACCAATCTCCAAGTGTGTTTCCCCTCTTCACATCTTCCCGGCCTCTGGCATCTCAGCCCCCGCCCCTCGCTCGGGCCTCCGAAATCTCTCTAACTGGCGCTTCTCTTCGCAGGCCCGGCTCAGGTTGCACTCTCTCCCGGGGGGACCGCCGCAGCCTCCGTCTTCTCCAGGCCCTCCTAGACCTCCGCGCTCACTAGGTTCCTGGAAGGCCTCCCCATCTCTAGACACATCGTGGCCTCTCTTAATTCCCTAATTACATCCCCGGAGTGTCATTAACCCAATTCTGATTTTTCATTCATGGCTCCTCTATCTGTTCCTACACTTTGCATCTCAAAGCCTGGGCAGCATCGCCCCTCTACCTAACCCGTTGTCTCGATTTCACCTGTGCATCCCTAGGAAGCTTCAACTGCCTGCCTTCCAGGTACCCCACAGTCCCTGAGCCTTGCTCCCTGCTGCATGGCACCCCGAGGGTCCCTCTCTACCCCGCTCCCATACATAAGCCACCGACATCTTTATTCTTGCGCTCTGTTCCCCTTAGGGGCCCCTTCCACTCCCGTTACACTCACCAGGCCCTCTGGAGTCCCTTTCCCGAACTACCTTTCCCCACCCCTTCTCCCGCCTTGCCTTGTGCATCTGGCATCTCTATTTCTCCATCCCTCGTATACCGGACCCTCCACCCCGCGTCTTCCCTCTGGAACCCGGGAGCTCCTCTACCCCTTCCCGCAACACCCATGGGCCCCTCTCTCTCCCCCCACTTCTGTAAAGAGCCAAGGCATCTCCATCTCTTCTCCACTCCGGCCGCCCGGATCCCACCGGCTCCACCCCCGCCCCCGCCCCCGCCCGCGGTAGCGCCGGCCCCTTCCCCTGGCCCGGCCCAGCCTCCCGCGGTCCCGGGGCCTGGCTCCTCCCTCCGCCCCGGCCCCCGTACCCGGTGCGGCGGCCTCTCGGGTCGGGAGCGGCGGCCGAGGTCCCGGGCGGCCCGGGCTTCCCCTCGCGAGTGCCGGCGGCGGCAGGGCCGAGACTTCCGGGAGTTCCGGGCCGGCAGCGCCGGGAACGCGGGCGCGGGGGGCGCGGGCACAGGGGCGCTAGGGGTGCGGCGTCCCTGGGAAAGGGCGCCGGCCGGAAACGCGCGAGCCGCCACGAACGTTCCGCCGCCCCTAAGCCGGCCGCGCCCACCGCCCGCGTTTATTGAGCCCCAGCGCGGAGGGGGCCGAGTGCGGGGGAACCACAGAAGCCCGCCTCCCTCCCATCCTCACTGGAGCAGTTCGGTCGCTGTGACAGCCCGATTAATAAACTGAGGGTAGGCGAGTCTGTCTTTGCCCTAAGACCCACTAGGACGGGGCCCAGGGTGTGTCCTGTTTCCGCTGGGCCGTACCGCCTGCAGCCCCCCGCCCAGCAATGCTGTAGGGGCTCTTCTGAAAGTCGGGCAAACGGGAGACCGAGGCCCCAGGACCAGCCATTGGTTCTGATGGGCACAGCCATGGTCCTCCCGCCCAGCAAATGGGGAAACCGAGGCCCAAGGAGCAGCAGCGGCCGTGTCTTGGCACTCCGCACAACGCGCGGCGCAGAGGAAACTGAGGCCAGGCGGCCGCGCCCATATGCGGCGCGCGGGACCCAGGAAGGGACAGCGCAGGCCCGGTCTGGAACTCATGCAAGCAGCGCGCGGAGGGCTTGCGGCTGCCCGGGAGCCGCCCCCAGTGCCCCGGGGTGGTCAGAGCTGCGTCCTAGCGAGGAGCGGTCAGCACTCTGCGCTGAAAGTGCTCTGTGCTCTGCGGCTGTCCTGTGGGGCAGCCGCTAGCCACAGGAGCTACTGCACACTCGAAATGTAGCTTAGTGAGGCTGAGGACCTGAATTTCCAATGCCATTTCTCTTCATTTAAGCTTAAATATAACCACACGTGGCTAGTGGCTACCTACCATACCGAAGCACTCCTGAACCACCCCCGTCAGTTGCAAATTGAAGGCCCACGAGTCAGAAGAGGCTCACGGTAACAAGCCGTTTGGACCACAAGGTATTTTTTTTTTTTATGTTTTACTGGGCAATATTCAAAAGGCCATAAAATGTACACACAAATTCAAATTGCGGCAAGCGTTAGGGAAAAAAACTCTAGATGTGGCAACAGCATGCTGGAACTGATAAAGTATTAAGAAAAAAACTTAAAGAAAACTCCAAGTGACCCAACAATTGGAATGTTAGGCTAAAACTAAAGATATTCTAGAATAGTGCTGTCCAAAACGGCACCCTCTCCCCGCACGCACGCGCGCACACACACACACACACACACACACACACACACACACACACACACACACACACACACACACACACACACACGTGGCTCTTGAGCGCTTGGCACGGGCCTGAATTGAGATGTACCATAAATGCAAAACACCCAACAGATTCTTTAGACTTAGTACAAGAAAGTAGAGAGCAAACTATGTCATGAACTACACTGAATACATTTTGAAATACATCAGATATACGGGTTAAGTGTTACCAAAATCCATTTCAGCTGTTTTCACTTTCTTTAGTGCAGCTCACCTTCTATTTCTACCGGACAGCATTGTCCTAGATGGTCTCCCTCTTCTATAATTTCATGGTGAGGTGGGGAGGGCAGACTGGTGAACTGAGGGGCATGCCTAGTTTAAGGGGCAACTATGCTTTCTATCTACAGGGACTCCTCAACTTTGGCATTACTGGCATTTTGGGGCGGGACTGGTCTTTGCTGTGGGGGCCATCCTATGCACCGAGAAATGTCCAACAGCATCCCTGAGCTCCACTCTCCTGGTGCCAGTAGCTCCCTCTGACCCGCCGCCAGCATTGTGTCAATGACATTGCCAAGAGTCCACCAGGGAACAACAGTGACCCCGACCTCCACGGACCAAATGTCAGCCTCCTGCCCAGATCCTCCCTGAGTTTCAGGCCCACCTAACCAGCTGCATGCGTGACAGCCACCCCACACCCACCTCTGGAGATGATGACGAGCAATTGCGTCAGGCCCTGCAAAGGCACCTCATCCTCAAAGCACACCGACAAGGTGGGGCCATGAGACTGTTTTAGAGAAAAGGAAACCACAGCTGGGGAGGTCATTTGACTGGCCTGGGGCCCCATACTGAGGAGTAGGAGAGTCAGGATCGCACCTGCTTCCGCCAGAACACCAACCCGTGAGCCAGAGCTCAGGACCACTGTCTTGTCTGCAAACACCTCACTTCCCAAACCACCACCCCCACCTCTGCCCAGCTTACCTGAGCTCCCCCCAAGCCCTCTGCACCCCCGGTGCCTCCCCTGCACCTTCTCTGTGGCGACGTTGCAGCAATCTTTTTTCAGCTGTGGACTTGCACCCAGCGGCCCTCCATCCCTGACCCATCACCAGTCGCTCTCCTCCCATCCCCAGGGCCTGCGTGTCTGCTGCTCCCCCGCCACACTCATTTCCGTAGCTCGTGAAGTTGGATCTCCCCTGGCCACACAGGTCTCAGCTCCAGTACCCCATCACTGAAGCTGTGCTGGTTGGTGGAGGTGGAGTAGGCGCTGCCCTGCTCTGCCTGCCCATCGCTCACTTCAGCACCCACTGTGGCAGCTCGGATGGCCTCGTTTATCCCTTTGTTTTACCGTCTGCCTTGCCACTCCCCAGGAAGGCAGGGAGCAAGGCCCCAGACTCCCCCCCCCCAATCCAGCAGAGGTCTCAAGAGAGGGCAGGAGCGCCATTCAGTGGCTGAGTGAGTGAACTCAATCACCCTGTCCAAAAGCGAAGCACCGCCTCTCCCCCAACGCCCCTGCTTCCCTCCTGGGACAGGATCCTGATGAAGCCCCACATCCACATCAGCCCAGGCCTCACATGCCCTCATTTCCTCCACCTTCCTCATTCTCCAAAGCAAGGCGGGCACCAAGTTCTGTCCCTCTGTCATCTTGAGATGTTCTTAGGGCCTGTTAGTCCCACTCCTCCAACACCAAATGCAATGGTATATTTTTTCCCCTACATCTCTGTATAACAGTAACAGTATTATACACAGCAGGAATGGTACTACAACTCCATCCAGGTTCCCAGACCCGATTCCAATGTGTGTATGTGGGAAACACACCAAGCAATTCCCAAACACCAGCAGGGTGTCCGAGAACTCAACCCACTTCTGATGCTACCTACCCAGTGACAGCACCAGAGTCCCAGGTTAAGGGCTTCGTCCTACAAGACTGCCCTCCGTCCCCCACTCCAGACGCCAGTCACAAGCCCCAGGCATACCTGTGCATTTAACTGACCTGATACAGACTGGAGGTTCCCACGACCTCCCGCTTAGGTTTGATTAATGTGCTAGGGCGGCTCACAGAGCTCAGGAAAACACTGCTTACCAGTTTAATGAAGGACACCATAAAGGACACAGGTTAACTGCCAGGTGAAGAGAGACACAGGGCAAGGTCCCCAACAAGGGAGCTTCTTTCTGTCCTTGTGGAATTTGGGGCCTGGCTCGGTGGCACGTGGAGGATCTCTGGTTCCTGAAGCATAGAAGCTCCCACTGAGAAGCAAGATCCAAGAGAGTAATAAGCTCTTCTCTGGGGGCTTTGTGAGGGCTTCACTGCATAGTCATTATGACTACATTATTGGCCATTGGCTTATTCAGCCCCAGCCCCCACCCTTGGACAGGGGTCCAAAAGTCTCTCATTAACATGGCAAAATTCCCATTTCACCTTTAAGACTCTGCAGTGTTTTCAGGAACTGTGGATTAAGACCAAATATACCTGGGAAATATGTATTTCTTACAACTCACTATATCACAGAGCCATATGCTCCCCTCCATTCTCCAAGCCCCAGCGCTGGTCCCTTCCCCTTGCCCTGGCCCAGTCTCAGAATTCTCCCTGGTATGCAGGCCTCCATCCAACTCCCACACTGACTGACAGAGACTGTCAAATGCAACCTCTGCGCCATTAAAAACTCATGGTCACCCCATTACCCTCAGGACTAAGTCCTCCTGTGCCTCAGCCTGGGACTTGAAAGCATCATGAGGTGACCCAGCCGCTTCACCTCACCTCTCACTCCTGTGCTCCAACCACACATGGCACCTCACAGCCCCCTGACCAGACTTCAAATTTGCACAGCTCTAGGTGCAAAGGCGTACGTGATTTCCTCTGCCTGGGGCCTCCCCCTCAGCCTCCCGGGGTCCTGTGTGTCCTGGCCTCCCAGGCTGGCAGGGCGTCTCCTGCACACCTTGCTCACCCGTCTACCGGCTCCAGAAGGGTCTCCCACACTTCCCCTGCTTAGGATCCTCCCACGGCTCTACCTACAGCTACAGTCCCTTAGCCTGGCCTCTCACCAACTGCCCAGGCACCTTTCCCACCCCGCCCCTCACTCACACTGACCAGCCACACAGAACCATTCTCACTTCTCAGTCCACACATCAAGTCTTGGAACACTGTGCCTCTGTCCCCATCCCAGCCCCCTCTGCTATCAGATAAACACCTTGGTCCTCAGCAATCTCTCTCTCCAGCTTCATCCATGACCAATACTCATAACCCCAGACTTCATACGGCACCCTCATATCCAGGGGTCCCCTTCATCCTCTCAATCCCATGAGCAGGGCACTCCACTGAGCCTCAAAAGCCACTGGAGGCTTGCCTCAGATCTCCAATCCAGGTAGCAGAGACGGTACTCGAACTTGTTGCCCGCACTCCACTACCCCACCTCCCCCTGCTGCCCAAACCCTTCTTGCCCTGCAGTCTGAGCCCTGCCTCCCTCAGGAATCTTTCCTGGACCCCCTCTTCTCAACATTCCACCATCTATGTTATCTTCCATTCCCATGCAACAAGCCCTTCTTGCTTTGGGGAAGAAATGATTGCCAAACCTGTACCTCTGGAGCAGCCTGAGTTCCAGTAGCCCACTTGCCAGGCTTCCTACCCACCTCTCTGTGCCCGGTCCCAGGTCTCATGGGGCTTCTCAGGCCACAAAGCCCGTAAAGCCACTCCATCCCACAGCCAGGTCCCTCGCATCACACTGAGCACTCACTGCTCCACTGGGCAGGATTCCAGCAGTGCCACGTCTCCTGCACCCACCCACTCCCCCAAGCCCTGACTGGCCATCATACCCAGGTGCAGCCAACTTTTGGTCCAGAAGTTCCGGGATGGAAGGAGGGAGGGAGTTGTGCCTAGGAAAGTTCTCTCACCAATAACTCACAACCGCAGAAGAAAGGCTCCCACACCGCTTGAGTTCCAGACCTACCCCAGCAATTTGAAAAGAATCAGGACTCGCATTTACGTGAACCTGTCTCAGCAGGCACCAGCAAGCACGTGACGGAGCACCGTGTGCGGCTTTGGTACAGTACCTCACATCTGTAGCCCACCTATAATGCCAGTATCTCATTCTACCCCATCTGACAGACTGGGACACTGACTCCCTCAACGGGGCAGCGACTGGTCCCAGGCTATTAAGAGGGGGCTGTGGCAGTCAAGGATCCACCAGGAGACTCCTGCCTCCTACCCTGGGAACCCTATTTCAGGAACCAGAAAACTGAGGCCCAGAGAGGCAGTCACTTGCCTCAAGTTACACAGCAAATAAGCAGTGAGGCCAAAGCCCCAGCCTCTACCTGCTGTACCAGAAACAAGAGCTTCTAAGGAGCCCCTGCGGCCTCTCCACCGACAGGGCAATGCCTTCCAGCCTTGAAGATCCGGATATGCTGGGCCAGCTGCTGGGCATCTTGCAAACACGGGGACAGAGCGGACAGGTGCGAGCCGACCCCAACGGGTCCGGTGTATGAAGCGAGGCCTCGCTGCAGAGCTTGAAGGTCCTGCCGCAGTCGGGCCGGATTTCTGGGCGGGAGATGCGATGGCTCTTCGGGTGTGGGCAGCTCTTGAAGACCTGTAAACACTGGGGACAAATGAAGCTTTGTGGGGCTTGCGCTCCGGCCAGGGGACCTTGTCCATGTGCCCCACAGGATACACCATTGCCGGCAGAGAGCAGGCGACAGTCCTTGCCAGTGGCGCGAGGCCGCCAGGGGGCCGCCGAACAAGACGGAGCCTGAACCAGGGCGGGGGCCGCCCTAGGAGGCAAGGCGCCCAAGGCCTACGGAGAGAATCAGGGGAAGGTATACTTCGGGGCCCTGTACCTGAGGGGAAGCCAGGCGGGATCAGGTGAAGCTCTCCCACCAAAACTCACCAGCCTAGAGCCTCTCATCCCGCACCCAGAGGCCAGCGCAGCGACCGGGTTGACGCTCGGCGGGCTGGGGGCCTCGCTAGCCTCCCCGGGAGTCTCCGCGGCGGGCCCCTCTAGCCCCACAGTCTCTGTGATCCACGCACTTCCCTCTGGGCGTCACTCGGCGCCGCAGTGCTCAGTACCTGCCTCGGCCCCGGTCCGAGCCGGTGGGAAGCACCTCGGAAGCCGGCCCCAGGCTGTTCTCTGCGCGGTGGCGTTGGACCCGGAGATCCCGCGGCCCGGCTTGCGCTCCCGCCGCCACTGCGGCCAGACTGGACCCCAGCAATACGCCCCGGCGGGAAACAAATGCTCCCGAAACAACGGTTCCGGGGCTCTGCGCGCCTCACCTCTCTGCACGAGCGTGGGGGAACAGCCAATAAACTCTATTTGGTGACACGATAAAATCAGGAGGAAAGACGAAAGGAATGACCTTTGAATGAAAAGTCGTGACTTATTTTTGAAAGTGTCTTCATGCCTCTGGGCTCCAAACAGAGCCTGTCTTTTGCAATAGGTCTGTGCAAAAGGACTTTCTACAATAGGAAAGAAAATAGAAAGTCTATCTACAAATAGAAACCGAAAACAGAAAGGGCTAGTGATTTCAGTTGCTGCACAGCAAAGACAAGTGACCAGAATTATTCACCCGTGGGACAGCTGAGGAAACCCAGACCTTGACACTTAATGCATTAAAAGGCAAGGAAATAGAGTCAAGTATCCTTCCTCCGTAGCAAGTGGTAAAACACAGACCAGAGGGTTAGTTACTGGCTCTGGGCCACACACAGCTCGTCAGGGCCAGTCCCTCCACAGGGCTGGAGTGGTGGAGGGAAATGACATCTGAGTCTGGAGTACACTGCAACTCCTGGATTCATTCTCCATGACACCTGGGAAGACCTTCCCTAACCAGTGCAGCAGGATTTGTTTGGCCAACTCCTGGAAAGTTCTGGGGTAAGCAGAGGTGGCAACAGCCATGCCACCCCAGGTTGGTGGAGCACTTGAAGGCCTTTCCCACAAGGCCACACACTCAGGGAGAGTGCAAGACACGATGTTTCATCAGGTAAAGTAGCTCTTATGTGTTTGTAAGCACACAGGGCAGAAGAAGCCCCATTGGAAGCTGACCCATCTCCCTTTGCATCATCCTGAGCCACTTCCTACAGCCACAGTAGCGTATAGAGAGCACAGTAGGGTATAGGAATGTTGGTATGAGCCAGTGCTTCCAAAGTGAGTTGGATCGCTAGACGGCCTCGCACAAGCCTCTCAGACCAAGTGCTGGATATCCGAGTGGGAGACGCCATTAGCCTGGAGAAAGAAAGCATTCTTGAAGACCTGCAGGCACTCAGGACAACTATAACCTGGTGGGAGTCAGCTCCATGGACTCTCTGATTGTCGTTAGGTTTTTCCACTTGCGATTTGTGTAGGTGTATGGTTCGCCCTTCCCATTAATGAGCAGGTATTGGCCTTGATTCAGGGCAGGAGACAAGGCTGCAGGCCCAGAAAGAGAGAAAGAGGAGGAGGGGCTAACTCAGGGGAAGGTGCTTGCTGGGGATAAGAGCCCATGGTTGACGAGAATAAAGTCATGGTCATCCTTGAATCCAGAGGAGCAGCTAGAGGAAGGAAAACCACATTGACTGAGGGTGGGAGAGGTAAGCTAAGGGTGGTGGTGACCAAAGAACCTCTCTCCATACCCCCAATCTCTGCTGACCTATGTCATTCTCAGCCCCCTACTCCCTAAACCTCTCATCTCTCCAAGGGGCTGAGGGATTTTTCATAGCTGTGTGCCCAAACTCTAGACTTACTACCTTTACTTCTCTGTGCTCCCAGGATGCGCACAGGCCTCTTGCTTCGACCCATTCCTCTGATGTGCGCTGAGGGTCTTACACCCCCTGGAATCTGTGTGACCCATACTTTTCCTTATTGCCCGCCACCTCCTCTTTCAAACCCCTAGGGGTGGCGTCTCTTCCTGCGTTTCCATTCCTCCCCATCGGGGTAACTCTCCTCTCTTCCAGGACCTCCCCAACTGCCCGAATTTCTTTTTCTCCCCAACTCCAAAATCTCCTTTCATGCTTGTCCCGCAGCACCAATTAAGTGTTCCTATCCCCCGGAACTCTCACTTCTGTATTCGACTCGCTCCGCCACCTCCCACCACCCTTGCCCACAGCCCACCAAGGCCTCCGTGGCTTCTGCCCTTTTGTGTTCCCGCGGGGCCCTCGGACGCGAACCCCCAACGGGTGGGTCAGCTCCGGTCTTTTCCGCCCCCGAAGTCCACCAGAAAGAACATCGCCCTACACTCTGGAGGACCTTCCCTCTCCGCACGCCGTCCTTGTGCCCCAGAACCCCCTTCTCCGGGCGTCGCCCTCTCAGTCGGTGCGGGCTGAGGAGCTCCTTCTCCGCAGGGCTCGATCTTCTAGGAGCCCCAGGGGTGGTCGGCGCGGACGCGCAAGGTGGAGGGCCCTGTTCACGTGAAAGCCCTCCGACCGGACACAACACACTTGAAGGAAAGGTTCCCGGAGCCTTTTGTTCCGCTGGCCTGAATCCCACTCCGTCTGTTCAGCAAGCCTTTGTTGCGTGCCTCCTATATGCCAGCTTCTGAGGGTAAAAGCGCGAGCGCAACAGGCCGAAATAGTCCCTGCCTTCCACTTAGAGGCAAATCTGGTCTTTATAGGATTCATGCCGCAGAAAGAAATTCTCCTAGGCCTCATGGGGGCGACAAAGACCATAATATAGACTGTCCCCCACACTTTTTAAGAAGGTCGGTCATTGAGATCCCTGGCAATTTGCAAATGAGGAAAGTAAGGCCTGGAGAGGTTAAGTGAAATGTTCATGGTCCCACGGCAAGTGGGCGCCAGAGCCAGGATTACAACCCAAAGTCGGGGGCCCCTTACACTTTCCACTGGAGTAGCTACCCTTTGGGGAAATTGTCCCGTGGCCCCTGAGAGCTACAAAGGGTGAAGCTAGAGGAAAGTTTAGGTCGAAACGAGAGCTTCATTAGAGAAAGAGTGCCTGAGTGTGAAACAGAAGACCCAGTGGGCTGGGCCCTCTAGCCCCCAAGGGAGGAGTCTATGGAGTCCACCACGTGCTGGCTGTGGGCACTGGCAAGGAGAAAGCGCAAGGCTGGACCTTCAAGTTCCCACCATTTGGGGCTCGCCTTAGTGCAGGCTGACTGGAAGGATTAGGCCTATTCCATCAGGATTTCCTGGCAGGCATCAGATTTGAACAAGGCAGCTGAGACATGTGAGGACGTCAATTTGGTGTCAATCAGACCCTAAGTCTCTCCAGGAGAACCTGAGAGGCATTTGGGGACACCAGGCCCCATTTGCTTTTCCCTTTCTGTCATGTGGAGGTGTAAGTCCGGGCAAAGTAAATCCCGGGGCAAAATGCCTCTAAAAAACTAAATCAGTCAAAGGGAGAAATAAAGTTTAAACCCGTTTTTTGCTTACAAACTGCAGTCCAGCGCCGTCTGTCCCCCACCTTGCTCCGCAAGCAAGCCAGCCCCTCCCCTTAACCTCTTAGGTTCAGACAAGCCCTCGGTTGCCAGGTAATTACCCACTGACAGGGAGATGAACTTCTCTCCACCCGGGAGGATATGCAAATGCACTAAAGCCAGGCACGATATTCTGGAAATGTTACAAGTTTACCCACAGGAGGCCAACATTTTCCCCAAACTTATTTTATTTTTGTATTGAGATGTCAGTGGTAACCTTAAAAATAAGACTGGCAGTCATTTTACCAGCAAAACGAGCTTAACAACAGCAATCCCACAAATCTGTGCAGAGAACAAAATAGAGGAGGCGGCTCTTTTATAAAGGAAGGGGGTGGGAACAGTTGGGAGATTGTTCTAAGCAAAAAGTCCATTGGAGGAAACTGGGAGTAACCTGCATCGTGGCTGCTCATTGGCTGAGTCATGACAGTCTCTCATTGGCTGGGCTGTGCCAGGGCAGAGAGAAACTCTTCCCTCCTACTAAGTAATGAAGTAGCCAAAATAGTGTGAGTTGCAAGGAGTCCTTCCTGGAGGGTCTGAAATTGACGAGGAGTGGTGGGCATGAAATCCCCCGCTGCAGGCCTCCCTACTGCTACATCGGCCAGGTATCCCTTAATTAATTTTCGCATAAATTACATAAAGCATGTAAGTCTTGAGGTTACAAGATCAATGAATCTTTACATATATACATAGCCGTATAATGGCAGATGTCTCCCTGGTGTTTCCTATCCATCATTAAGCCCCACTGAGTATAATCACTATTCTGATTTCTATTCCCAAAGATTACTTTGGACTGTTTTTAAACCTCATATAAATGTAATTGTATTGAAGTACTCTTTGTGTCTGACTTATTTCACTCAATTATGTCTGTAATTATATCATCCATGCTGTTGTTATATATCAACAGATTTTTATTTCCATTGTACAGCTATCTTACAATTTCCTTGTTTTTTTTTAAATTGTCGATAGACACTCGTTTTGAATTTTGGTCTATTATGAATAAAGCTACTAGGAATACTCTTGTGTATGTCGTTTGGTGGATATAAGCACCCATTTCTTCTGTGTATGTATCTGGGAATGGAAGTGCTGGAGTGTATGTCTACTTAGTATTACCAGGAATTAACAATTTTCTAAACGGCTGTGCCAGTTTACATTCCTGTCAGCAGTGTATGTGGGTTCCAGGTGCTCCACACCCTCCCCAACACTCTGTTTAAATTCCTTTTACTTTCAGCCCTTATAGTGGATGTGAAGTGGTACCTCATTTCACACCTCTCCAACACCTAACGATGCTGAACCTTCTGCCTGTGTTTAATGTCTTCTCTTAAATACCTACTGAAATATTTTGCCCATTTTTAAACCGAGGGCTCTCTCAATCTCAGCAGCCAGGAAAAGAGGGTGGGAGACTTGGGGAAAGTGGGGTGTGGGGAATCTGAATGACTTGTTCATGTTCCAGCTGTCCTAGCCCATCAGGCTGCTACAACAATGTACTACAGACTGGGAGGGAGAAATTTACTTCACGTAGTTAGGGAGGCTGAAAGTCCAAGGTCAAGACATTGGCAGATTCAGTGTTAGGTGAGGGCCCACTTCCAGATTCATAGATGCAGCTTCCTGTCTGTGTCTTTACATGGCACAGGTGGGAGAGCTCTCTACAGTATCTTGCATATAAGGAAACTAATACCATTCCTAAGGGCTCCACCCTCATGACCTAATCTCCTCCCAAAGGTCCCACCACCTAATACCATCATCTTGGGGATTAGGTTTTGACATGAATTGGGGATACAAGCATTCAGTCTATGGAAACAGCAAAAAACAGAGACAAATACATTATCTCCATCCTCACACC